CCTCAAACTCAGAGATCTACCTGCCTCTGCCTCCTGAGTGCTTGAATTAAAGGCGTCTATCACCCCCATCAACTTGATAGTCTTAAATGATAAAAATAATGCTAACTTCAGTTTTAGTGAAGTTACAATAATGAAGTATTATCTCTGAATCTGTCAAATGTTTATGGACTGGACATTGTTAATGTAGTTTTTGACTGTATGTATTATGTATATTTATTGTACTTATTGTATATAGTTTTTCTTATATTAGTTATAACCTTTTATTATTTTAGACAAAAAAAGGGAAATGTTGTTATATCTTGTGTACTCTAATAAATTTGCCTGAAGATCAGAGAACAGAACAAGTCACTAGATTAAACATAGAAGCTAGGCAGTGGTGGCACACACCTTTAATCCTAGCACTCAGGAGGCAGAGATCTGTTTGAATTTCTTTGAGTGCAAAGCCACCCTGGACTACATGAGATTGACTCAGTCTACAAGAGAAACAGAGCCAGGCAGTGGTGGCACACACCTTTAATCCCAGCACTAGGAAAACTGAGACAGGAAATGATATGGGTGGGCACAGAAAGGCATGTAAGGCGTGAGGAGATAGGAACTAAAGTCTTTCGACTGAGGAAGGCTTTTCAGGCTGAGTACTAGAGGTAAGAGGTGGCTTGTTCTTTTGTCTCTCTGATCTTTCAGTATTTACCCAAATATCTGGTTCTGGGTTTTTTATTAAAGACCATTTAGCAATTTGTGTTAGAGTAAGGATATGTTCTTTGGTTAATCATGTTTTTGTTATGACTGCTTCCTCAGGATTACTATTATATTTGAACCAAGATTCATGTTTAAAAAAACAACGCAAGTGATGGTGGAGAGGACCAGTCCTGAGTCCGGACCGGTCCTGAGCCTGGATCGGTCCTGAACCTGGACCAGTGAAGCTCTCAGACCTCATCAGAGATGTTTCTTTGTGCAGTGGATAACAGTTAACTCAGAAGTTCACAACTAGTCAAAGTGCAGAGATGGAGTGACTGTGGAGTGCTCCGCCACAAATGGGACATCTGTACCACACAGCTTCCCAAGACTCAGAGACTTATCAAGTGGAGGTGGAAAGAGTAACAGCCGGAGACAGGCGAGGACAGGAGCAAAGCAGTGTTTTCTGGACATCACAGGACTGCTGCACTCATGAACTCACAACTACAGCTGTCTGCAAAAGAGCAAACTAGTCAACTGTCTAGCTGGGATGCTATGGACAGCTGACTTAATTTGTATGTGAAGAGGCAAATAAAACAACAGAATGAGACTCAGATATGGCTGATATCGTGGAATTGTCAAAACTATGAATTTAAAATAATGAATATGCTTAGGGTTCTAATGGAACAAGTGGATAACATGCAAGAACAGATGAGTAACAAGTTAGACCAGAGACTCTCTAGTTGCTCCTCCCAGCAGTCTGTAGGTTAGGACAAAGATCTGACAGGCTCCCTTTCCCTGCAGTTCTCTCTGGGACACTCAGTAGAATAACAAAGCCTGCTGAACTGTGGCCTTGCTGCTATAGGGTAAGCTATGGTCCTACCTAGTGCTGCATCTGCAGCTTATAGGCCAGGCCAAGCTAGATCCCTCCTCATGGGGCCTGTCTACCTATCTGGAGACCTGTAGGAAGCAGAAACCCCTTTGCCTTGGGGATTTGAAGGCTATTTTCTTCAGGACTCATGTCATATTATACATGACAACCATCTCTTCTAAAGTTCCTTCCTGGGATTCTGAAGGGAATACTCTCTCCATCTCTCCTTCAAGGTCCCATCAGGCTGCCTACCTGTAATATGCTCTAGGTCTCCTAACATTCTCTTCCTGCAAGACCCAATCATGCCCCCGACCCCCGACATACCCCAGCCAACTCAATGGTAGTGAGGCTCTAATACCGCTCATTCTGAAGGGTAATCTCATGTCAGCTCCTTGCCATTCACCTGCTTCTCTTTGTAAGTTGTAACAGTAAATAGATGAGTACTCAAAGAATAAATTAAATAACAAAATGAGAACATGTAAAGAATTAGAATAAAACAACCGGGTAGAGAGAAGGGTTGTTTTTAGCACAACGGGTGATTTGTCCAGATCTGTGATGCTAATAGGAAGACTGCAAAATGGGGGAATCAAGTGAGAAAGTGAAAAATTGGTAAATTCTTCAAGAGATATTTTATACGATCCGAAATAAATTCTAAAATAAAGATGAGAAATAACGAGTTACAGCAATAACTAAGTTTGAAAGTTGGTTTTAATCAGGTAACATGGCCACATCAAAAAGTTACAGTAGCTCACATCTCAAATCCTGTCCTTAACTATTCATCTGTTATAAATGCCATTACTTAAATTCCCAAGAAGTTTTCTAACATTTTCAGGTACTCTAAGTGCAAACTAGTGTTCCTAGGAAGCCACACCTTACACTGAATGCTCTACAAAAGCTAATTAACAGATTAAACCTTGATGATTGTGGAGAGGTTGGAATATTGCAGGTCTAAAGCCTGACTACAATTGACCTTGCTATGGTTAGCCCCCTAATTGCCTTTCCTTGCCTACCTCTGTGTCTGACCTAACATCCTTTAGATTACCAAGTGAAACCCTTTGGAATGTATCCAGACTACTGATTTCCACCAACCAAAAGGCCTCAAGAATGTTATCGACAGCATCTGAGAGCTATAACAGCTACTTCCCCACTCTGCTGGAAACTACCATCTGTTGTTTCCACCAATGTATGCAAAAGTGTATTGACTTATAAAATTTCATGAGATTTTACCATATTGGAGCATGGTATTTGGGAAAACCTGAATTTGTGTTCCTGGGCCATGGTCACTCATATTAAGTTCCAGAATAAACCATTTCTTATTCCCTTTGAAATGAAAGTCATGGTTGTGTATGTGTCTGTTTTGAATTGACAAGTGTTATATCATGTTTGTTTTAAGTTACATACTTTAATTTAATTTTACTTTAACATCTCTATAAAGCCAAAAAAAAAATAAATTGGGCAAGAGAAACCAGTAACCAGGTACTGATATGTATGTCTACTCATTTGTTCAGTTAACAAATGTGTACAGCCAGGTGGTAGTGGCACACACCTTTAATCCCAGCACTCGGGAGGCAGAGGCAGGAGGATCTCTGTGAGTTCCAGGCCAGACTGGTCTACAAAGTGAGTGCCAGGACAGCCTGGGCTGATACACAGAGAAACCCCGTCTGGAAAAACAAAAACAAACACATACACACACACACACACACACACACACACACACACACACACACACACACACACACACACAAAACCCCCAAATATGTATTAAAGACATTCTTCATTCTAGGTAATAAGAGTCTACAGCAGTACACAAAAAAATAAAAATCTTTATACCCATGGGGATAGACTTCTTATAAAACATACAGCAAGTTGATCCTGGGAAATAAACTATTATTTCATATATGGAGACATTTGACAGAAATGAGTGAATCCTGAGGTTATATGGCATGTACTATTCCAAAGGACAGAAAATTCCCAGGGCCAGAAATGGGAATACTTGTGGGGGGGGGGATGGGGGGTGGTACTATAATACTGGAGTGACAGAATCCAAAGCCACATCCTGTGGCGCTTGGAAGAATGGGAGAACTTACTCAGAGGGAATGGGAAAAACTTAGGGAAGTTTTGAGCAGATCTACAATGACTATCACATGGAGGCTGTTGGCAATCGGACTACTCAGCCAGCTATTCCAATGCAGAAATGACTTGGATCAAAGTGTCAGGTTTGGATTGAACAGCTACTTCAAAAAGTAAAAGTGGCCCTCATTACACAGCAGAATGCGGAACTACAAGGACTGCACTTTACGGGAACAGGAATGACTGTATACTGGAAACAAGGGGGGTACAATACAACATTTAAGATGAATTTTAAGCAGTCTATTGATTTCTAAGTGTAGCCATTTCATTTTCAGTCTTCTTGAGAGAGATCCTGAAGAGAGATGAAAACTTGTGTGTCATGACTATACATGACTTGGAAAGGCACAGGGCGATAACGAAATCACCTGACCCCACAACATATATTTAGGTAAGGGACAGATGGGTAGATTGGTAAACGATAAGCCTTTAATCCCAGCACTTTCAATACAGTTCCATGCCAGCCAGGGCTACACAGTGAGAACCTATCTCTAAATACAACAAACAGACACACATACATAAAAATAAAAGCAGAAAACTAGTCACGAAACTAACGAAGACTGGGGAAGGAGTGGCGTCCCAGTAGTTAAATGAAGTATTTCAAAACTCAGTAAGTGGTCACTTAGGTCAAAGCTGGTGATGGGTTAGTTAGCAACGAAAGTGTAAACTGACAGTTGTTGGCTATCAGAAACCTTTTTTTGTTGAAGCGGAAGGACAGCCTTAAAGGCTGAGTACTACAACCAAGGGCGAATACGGTTCTCTCCCAATAACTTTCAGTAAGTTTAAATGACAAACGATTAACTGAGCAGAGGATTGAAGAAAAGATGTGGCTGGTTTGAGAAAACAACAAAATTACTGAAATGTGTGAAAATTCGGGAACATTTTAGTGGACATTCAATGAACCACTTTCAAGTTTTACGCCACAGGAGTCCACATATCGTTATGCTTTACTTCTGGCTTAGCGGAATGTTGTATGCAGGTAAGAGTCTTAAGGCAAGCTGGCAAAAGGAGATTAAAAAAAAATCCTCTGCCAGCGAACATATTAAAATTAGCTTTGGTTGCTCCGAGGAACCAAGGAGTCCGAGCAAAGCAAGAAGGCTTGAAGTTGAAAGACCAACGGAAAGAATACAAGCAAAAGCACTTGGAAGTAACAGGAAGCAGGGGTCGAGCACCGCAGACGGGGTTCTAAAAAAACCGAACTATAGGCCAAAGGAGGCGGAGTTGCCTGGGGGCTCCGCAAGATCGACTGCGTTGGGAACCCCTTTCCAAACCGAGGGGCTGCCTCCGGGATCTAGAGCAATGTGGACCGCGGATCTAGTGCGGAACTTACGCAGCAAAGATGGCCTGCTTGCGGGTGCTCGTTGGAGAGGTAGAGGAATACATAGTGGCGACCCGCAGACCAGGGCCCAGCGCCCTCTCCCTAGCGGCTTCTGCAGTACCGGGAGCCCCAACCGCCCGCGTCAGCGGCTCTGGGAATGTTTGACGGGCGTCATGGCGACCGAGGAGCCCGGCTCAAGAAGCGGCCGCGCGGTTGGCTGGCCGCTCGAGGTGGAGGAGGAGGGCGGAGGCGGAGGGGAGGGCAGAGGGTTGGTGGAGCTGGAGGAAGCTCGGGCGACGACTCGGAGGAGGCGGGCGGCCCAGGCCCTAGGCCCCTCCCAGGCTGCGAGTCTCCCGGCTGCAGGCGGATGGATGGGGCGTCTCCAGGCGGCGGCGGCAGCAGCGGAGGCGGCGGCAGCGGCGGTGGCTGTAAGTGCAGCCTCCACAAACCATCTTCCCTATCCTTCCATCGGAAACCGGAGCTCCAGAGGCGCCCGCAGTCCCCTTTCCCCGCTTCCCCTCCCCCACGGCCGAGCGCCGCCCGGAAGACCCTTGACTTCCGGGGCGGGGCTGTCCCGGTGTGTGCGGGGGCGGGCTGGCGGCTCGGAGGCACTGCCGCCCCGTGCGCACGCGCAGCCGCCGCCCCTCCCCTGCCCGGTCTTTCGGCCTCGGCGGCGGCGGCGGCGGCGGCGGCCGCGCCAATCTTCGCTGCTTCCGCGGCACGCCGGGACTACGCTGCGGAGTGAGTTCGCCGGGCGGGCAGGCCAGCTTCCGCCCCTTTCGGTCGGCCCTCGCTCCGCGGCAGGGGTGTGGCTTCCTGGCCACTCCCCCGTGGCTCCGCCTCTGTGCCCCTGATTTTCCCCAGCTGTCCCAGCCAGTGGAGGGCTCTGAGACAGAGCATCCCCTGAGGTGATGGGCTCAACCTGGGTCCACCTGGCATTGTCGGAGGGAGCTAAGGGGCGAGAGACTTGAAGACGGCATTGCAGGGAACGAGCCGCTCCCGGTGCCTGTGCCCCCCCCCCCCGGTACTCTCCCCCGTCGCCCCCCACCCCCCGCGTGTGGCCTTATTCTTTTAGCTTGTAATATAGAGGCTCCTGGCCTGGTGCCCATCTCTGGTCCTTGCATGCTGTGTGACCTTGGGCAAGTCACTCCCCCACGGGCTTCAGTTTTCTTATATTAAATCTCCTCAATCTTTGTAATTTTGCAGAAGACCTTAGGCAGTTTTAAGACTGAGATGACCCGAAATTGACTAAACCTTTCTTAAATCTTGGGTGAAATACGGAAACCTAATTATCGGGTTCCTTTTTTAATCTTTAGCATTGCTTACAAATTGCAAGACTCAATTTTTTTTACTTGTTTGCTTCTTTTTGCTGAAACTGCCATGGGGGGCGGTTGACCTGGTTCTCAGACATCTTTTTGAAAACGTGAGACTGGGTGAGCTTGTGGGAACACTGTTTCTGTCTCGTCCCTACTGAGGCTTTCTTTTCCTTTAATCCAGATGGTGTGGTGGCTCGATTCTCCCAGTGCCTGGCTGAGTTTCGGACGTGGTTAAGAACCAACTGGTTGAGGTTCAATGCAGACAAGACGGATGTGATGCTGGTAGGCAGGGGCACAATTGGAGACGAAGGGAGGGCAAAAGTGAACTCCCTCGTGTGATAGAAACGTCCTGATTACTGTCAGTTCTAGTGTTGTAGGACGGCTAATGGCCAACCCTTTCAAGACTTCGGGGGAGATAAAAATAACATCAGCAAGGTTAAGAATTATAAACACAAGTTTGCAACATAAGGATAAAAAGGGGGCTGCTGAATGAAATTGTTTGGAAAAATTACGAAAGGAAACCACCCTGTCCTTTGAAGAGCCAGATTTCTCTATGTGTTTTAGGACGGCATTAATACAAGAACTAACGAAGAGATAATTACTGTTGCGTAGTTGTGAAGCCTCCAGATGTAATGTGCTGCTGTGCTTTGCATCCTGCATTCTGCCTACTAAAAGTCAAGATAAATTCAATCTGTCTCAGATGTCATTCGAGAAAAATTTTGAATGTAGGTATTTTGTCACCACATCTACAGTGCAGGCTGTCGTTCCTAAATACAAGTTTTAGGATATAGTTCAGAAAATAGTCTCCAAAGAGGACTCTCGGACTTGGAGAATTTTAAGATCTTAGTTATGCTGTGTTCATCTGTATCAGCCAGAATTCTTACATATATTTTCTTGGTGTACTTTGAGAGGTACTTTTTTGAGTTTCCCAAACAGATATGCCTATATAGCAGATATATTACTAGTTTTTGAGTCAGGTGTTGGTGCTGAATAAAAGATTATACATATTAGGTAAATATAAGTTGTTAAAGGAGTTTTTGTTGATTGAGGTACTGATTGAAGTATAACTGTGAGCCTAAGTATATTTGTTAGCAACTAAATGTCTCTGGAGAGTGTGTGCATGTGTGTGAATGCATGCATGCTTGTGCAACATGCATGCACTCATACATATGCCCCTTAGAGCTACTATAAAGAAATAACTTTTTTCTTATAGTATTGGAGCTTGAACCCAGGGCCTCACATGCTAGGCAAGTATTTTACCACTGAGCTATACCCCCAGCTCTCATTTAACTTTTGCATGGAGAATTCAGTAATTGGCATAAAAGAATACATTGCTGGATAGAATAGTTTTGAGTAGCTTAATGTGGTAAAAATTAATGTTAAGTTTCCCCAAAATAAGGAGGCTTTTTAGGTTTATTTAGGCCTTATATAGTGTTTTTTGTTTGTTTTGAGATAGAAAACAAAAACCTTGCATACGAGTTGGAATCAGCTACATTTTTTACATTAACTTAAACAGTTTAATATAGAATTCTAACAGAGTTAACACCTTGCATGTCACATTAATAAATTCTAATGAGTTTGATCAGGTTATTGGTGAATTTTCCTATGCGTTTTACTCTGCCATGACCTGTTTTCGGATACATGTTTTTTGTTAGCCCAAGTATAAATTTTGACTGTTTGCACTTGAGTACGAAGATGTTTCTTGAATTTATAGAGTGCTGAAGAACTAGGAGTGATGAGTGAAAGTGAGGAAGTAGCTTCTGGCTTTTAAGACAGGGAAGACTGAGCCAAGCATTTGAACTGTTTTTGAAAAGAGCAGCCTCTTCAAGAGGCACAGCGAAGTCTCTGGAAGTCTGTAAACACAGGCAGAGAAGCTTGGGAGTGGGAACTCCCTGGTAGATCCTACCTCTGACAGAGGACCTCAAGGCCGTATGCCACAGGAAGATATGAGTAGTGAGTTCTTACACATCTGACACCCAAGGGGTAAGGAAGGGATTTCAGAGAGACATAGCTTTCCTTGAAGGTGGTTTCTGAGGCTCTGAACAATGGGATTGTCAATAGGACAAAATGCAGGTATACTGAGTTCAGCAGTAATGAGTTGTGTATGACCTACTGTATTAGAGCCGTTTCTCTTTTTCTCCAGAATGTCTCGAAAACACTGCACTCCAGTTTATTTTTCCAAGAGGAAATATTTAGAGGGAATTGCCCCCCCCGAAAGGATAATGCCATTTAACGTGAATACTATTGATTGGCAATATCAGTTAACTTAAAGGCGATTAGCAATAAGATAAGTGCCTATTCAGAATGTTACAGACTTGATGTTCTGACATGAGGGCTCACCCCATAGCTCGAGGAATCTGAGTCTGCTCTTTACCACCGCTGGGATGTTTGTTGATGTTTTAACTGAAGGCTCAAAGACTCAAAGAACTAAAGCAAGTTATACTTTTGTATTAAATATCAACAATACTCCAACTTTCCTTTTAGTGGCCAGCTAAAATCCATCTATATTAACCATTCATAATTTAGTGCCAAGTCCTCCTTCAGCACCATGGTATAGCTACCTCTAAGACCTCTATTATTTTTACCTGTGCCCACCTCTGGCCCACGCACATTCATTGCTCTTTGCCTTTAGCTTTTTTTCATCTAGTGAGAACTATTTGGACAGGGACTAACATTTTAAAAAAGTTCAAAGTAGTGCCTTAATTTAATAAAACTATATATACATACATATACCTGTGCTAAAATATTTATTTCCCTCCAGGAATTTGTGGGGGGAGGAAGCTTTTAATCTTTAAAATAAAGTGAAAATACTGTACAGTGCAGTTAATGGTAAGAATTGTTTGTAGATTTGGGAACCTTAAAGTTTTCCTTTCTCTTCTTTCCCTTGCTTTTCTTTCAGTAGAAAATGTGCATCAGATGTTTATGTTTAATTGGTTTACAGACTGTCTCTGGATTCTTTTCCTGTCAAATTACAAGGTAATGTCCTTTCACTTAGCAGCTACTTCATATACCTGTAAATGCAGTTTATTCATGCACAAATTGTTATTGGGCTTAAGACGTTCAGGTTCATGTTCAGTGTTTAGAAATGGGAAAAGGCTTGATGAGATCTAGAATTTTAAGGAATCAGCATTCCCCCATATTACATTATAAGTATGAAGTTTAAGAAAGTTATGTATGTACACATTTGCACAATGCATTGTTAGTCATTGTATATTACTTGGAGGTAATGAGTATCATTTAACTGATTGATTTTGGAGTCATTTTGAAACTTCATTAAGAAAAAGCCTTATTTAGGAAAAAAGCTGGTCTTTTGAAAAAAAAAAGCTTTTTAAACTTCTGGTTTAGCAAAATATCTTACTGCTCATTATAATATCAGCCTTAAATCTATTTTAGCCAGCATCTACTTTAGGAAATTGGAATAAATCACTGGCCCTGGCCATTGTCAGTATGGACCTCAAGGCCATTTAGCAACCCCAGGCCAGTACATTAAAACAAACTTTCTACTTGCAGGTATTTTAGGCATTGCAAGTAAGTAGGTTCTGTCTCCCTGCAGTCAAATAGACATCCATCGAAGAGCAGCTTTTCATTACTTTACATTTGAAACTTTCGTGTAGTTGTGCATAAATTCCTCCGATGCAGAGCTGTGTTGCTAGTAGTTTCAAACACTAGCTGTGTTGCTAGTGGTTGCAAAAAGTGAGGAAAACCTAACATCCTCTGCTCTTCATCTTTGCGCTCTGCCAGTTTGGGCAGCTAGGGTTTTCTTGTGTCGGGAATCACCAGGGGAAGTATTTGTCGGAGCGCGCTTCGTGCTGCTGTTGTGTCCGGGCAACATCTGTTTTCTAGCTAACACTCCAGAAGTGACCGACGTGTAGAATAGGAGGTATTTTTCCGCTTGCGGCGTGAGTGCCCCGCGGGGCCCTCTCCCGGACCTCGCGCGCGCGCGCGCGCGCCGCCCCGGTGCCGAGTGGCGGCTCTCCGGCCCGCCCCTCGCGCGCTCCCCGGGGACGGCGGCCACGGGGCCGCGCGCGCCCTGCTCCGCGCGTGCCCGCGGGCCTCTTCCCCTCCCGTCCCGCCGAGCAGGGCGCCGCGAGGGGGCGGAGCGGGGTGTGGTGGCGCGCTCGGGCGGCTCCTGCGCGTTCCCGCCGAGGCGGCGGCGGAGACGGCGGCGGGAGCCCCGCGGCCCAGGCGCACATCCGGGTTCTGGCCGCGACCCGCCGCGGCGATGTGACCCGGTGGCGCGGCCAACATGGCGGAGGTAAGAGCGAGCGCCCCTCCCCGGCGGGGCCTCGGTGGAGGGCTGCGGGCGGGAGGCGCGGGCCTGTCCGGGTCGGGCCTGTGGCGCCGCTGCCCACCTGTTGTCCGGCCGGGCAGCCGGGCTGGGCTCCGCGGAACTTAGTTGGGTGGAGAGGCTCCGTCGGACTTGAGGCACTTGGGAGGCGGCTGCGGCGTGAGGAGCGGGCGAGGGCGCCCGTCCGGAAGCCGCCCGTGGCGCAACTTCACCGGCCGGCCGGCTCGTCCGCCCGCCCGCCCGCCCGCGCGGCCCGCGGACTTCGCACAGCCTGCTCCCGCGAACTTTCTTCCCTCCGAGCCCAGACGTCGCTGCGCCCGCCCGCGGCTGCTGACCTGCGGTCTGGGTCGGGGGGAGAACAAGCTGACCCGCCTTTGATTAATTTAGTAATTTCCTTGATATGTGTAGATGAGCAGGAAAAATTAGCTCAGTAGGCCCTATCCAGCTTCAAACTGGGGATTCTTTCCCCAGACAGAACCTCCAAGTTTCTTTTCCACCCTCTCTACCTCTTGAACTGGCTGGGTTTTTTTTTTTTTTTCCTTTAAAAAACCAAAACCAAAAAAACTTTACAAATGAAAGTATCAAAGCTGTCTGTTATTTACTCTATTTTCTTTTTGCCTATTATTGACCTTTTTTTCTTCTTTTCTTGGAGGAAGCTTTTCTTGTTTCTCTTGCTATAGGATAGAACCCAAGGGTCTTGTGCAAGGCAGACAAGCAAACTCTCTACCACTGAGCCGCATCGCTTCCCAGCCTTCTTCATGTCTAGTAAACAAGTTCCCCTGGTTAGCGCTCAGATTGGGAGGCAAACAAGGTGGTTTAGGGTTAGTTAGGCCTTAGAATATGCTTTAGGAAATTTTAACATTCTGTCTGGTTTTAAGCCTTTAAACATCAGTTCTGTAGTTTGCTTTAATTTTTACCCGTGAATTTCGTTATTATTCATTCCCCTGGAGTTCACATTGTTATATTTGGACCTTTTGGATCTCTATTGAGGCAAATCGTGTAAATACTTGATTTAGTAAGGCAGAAAATTGCCCGACATTTCCATATTTTTATGTCAAAGGCACCAGAAATTAGATTGAGGAAGTGATTTTATTTACCACTTAGCTCTCAGTTTTCAACGCCTTCATTTGCCAAATGAAGTGGATAGTGACTACTTTTGTTTATACATAATATCCTTAAATCTTGGAATACAGAAGCATAAGATGGTGGGCCTTTCATGTACTAGTCAGGCTTCCTGGAGTAGTTTTTGGGGTGTTAATTTGTATTACAGAATTGCCTTTATATTTATGTCTTGGATTTTTTGCTATTGAAGAAAGAAGAGGTTTTTATGGTAGTAGGACTGTTTGCTGCCAGTATTGAAAATACTTAATGTTACTGACTTACCGCCAAAACGCGTTATGTCTGTTTTCATTTTCTTTACCTATTCATAGTTAAAGAATTGCAAGACCTGAGTTTACTGAACACGGTGCTTTTATTTCACTTCAGTGTGCCTGGTTTGATCTACTCACCTGAGTGTTCTGGACTCCATTCCTGGTGAGGTCTGACTCCTGTGCTACAAGAGGAAGTAGAATATCTAGTTGGATTTCCAGGCATCTTACCATCTAACCTCCACTGGATTCCCTTTTGCTGAAAACCCACTGGGTACATGGAGCAGTGACGCAGTGCTGTACTGTGGCCCAAGGCTTATGTAGTCACATCCCATAGCAAGTTATCGAAAGTAGCTTTGGGTACAAAAATACTGAAACTCAAGTTTAAAGAAACCACACCTAAAAACTTGACTTCCAGCATACTGAGAACATTATTTTGTTACATTAGCATTTTTGTTTTAGAAATTAAAGGGAAGAGGTGTGCTAAAACTGACTATTTTTCTAGTTTAAGCCACTCTTCTTAGGTATTTCATCATGTGGAGATGGAATTCTTATGATTTGCAGGAACACCTGGATGGTTCAATTTCAAGAACTTGACTTGTTTTCATTGCGTCTGTTTCATGGTCTGGAGTATATTTTATATTCTTTGAGTGTTGATAGGTTGCTCTTTGCTTTGCTGTGTAGGATAGAACCCAAGGGTCTTGTGGAACATAGAGGAGTGTAGGAACTTCATGTGTCAATGAAAATGTCCTAACATAGGTGAAGTGACAAGTAAATTATAGTTTTCCTTGTCTCAATTCTTTCCTAATTGGGATTTTTCTTAAGAACAATAGTTGTGAAAAAAAATTGGTGGAGAGATGATTGGTTAAAAATGTTTTTACTTCCTCTGTATAGACTTAATAGGGTTATTCTCTATGATGTATGCAGTAAAGAATTTGCATTCTGAACTACTATACTTTTGATTAAGCAAAGCTGAGGGCAGTATGCATTTATTTGGTAAGTATGGGGGAAATTGAAGCTTTTTGAAGAAGCATAACTCCAGACAAAAAATTTAAGTATTCTACTTGTAGACGTATGTTGTTCTTTCCTACTTCAGAGATTGATCTTGACATTGTTTTTCTAGAAAAATACTTGATTTGTAAATTTAAGTGGCATAAATACGGTTGTAATATGTAATGTTTTTTTTATTTGTTGTCTTTTTATACTGATCTGGTCATCTTTGTGAGTTTATAACAAGAAGTATACATTTAGTGGTTCTTCAGTTGTAGGCGTGTTAAAATGTATTTCGTGTGCACAGAAGAATTAGTATATGCTCCCCTTCTTCGTTCTTTTTAGTAATATTTCCCAGTGCTTATTATAACTTAAGATTCCTTACCGTAGGCTTACTAAAGGAGGCTCTCCTAGTTACGCTAAAAGGAAGGAAATTACAGAGTAGTCACAGTTTGACAAAGTCGGGGAGGAGAAAAAAATAAGGGGAAGGAATAGTTGATCCTTAGGGCTTTATAAGGAATGTGGTGCAGGGACCTTTGGGAACAAAGAATTTTGTCATTTATTTCAGAGTATGTAAACATACAGAGAGTCTTAAAAAAAAAAAAGGCACAGTACAATTTAAGATCTCTTTTATTCACCTGAGCCTGCCTTCTGTAACAAAATATTTAAATGGACTTGCTTAATGTATTAGTTTAAATATTTTCAATAATGGTACATTTATTTACTATTATATCCATCCCTCTTAAAAATATTTCCTTGTTTAGCATTATTTGAATTTGCTTGGATTTTGGGTTGTTGTTTGTTTTTAAGGAAATCAGATTGTGTTTCTCTTCAGTGTTAATTTCCCTTAACAGCAGTAAATTTAAACTATAAGCAATTCTCTATAGTGGTGATGAGTTTTATTTTCTCTGCTTATTATTTGTTCCTGAAAGCTATCCAGAATAGTCAGGAACTCCAGTACTGCATGGCAGTCCTGAAATATTTAATAATTTGGTGGGACTAAGAGTCAATGCACTTGATAACCTAGGTAGGAGAAATAAGAGAAGTGAGTTAATTTAAGGTAATGTTGGTGAAACTAATCAATTTCCCTTATTATGGAAATAAACAGCTATATTAAAATTTCTTGCTTGATATTCAGATCAAATCTTGTGTGCTTTCAAAGGATTAACAAATGGCTTCAGAATTCATAGCAGTGACTAAACTGTTGCTTGGGCTTTTCGATGGCTATGTAACTGTTAAAAAGTATGTGTGTGCATGCGTGTGGTGTGTTGTGTGTGTGTGTGTGTTTCTAAAGCAGCACCACACAATAGCTTTATGCCAATTGAGATTGCCTTTTCCTGTAGTCATAGATTTAAAAAGTCAGAAAACAGTATTCAACTTACCCACCTTTTAGCTGCATTTTGAATAATTCATAATGAAACTAAACCTAAGTTTCAAAGGAACTTAAAGAATTGTAAGGCTTTTCACCATAGAGAAAATGAAACTGATCGGTGTTAATGCACTTTGTCCTACATAACACAATTAGTCTGTGTAGCACAGTCAAGTCTCAGACCCAGACTTCTGTGTTTCTGGTGCTTGTCTTCCATAATGCCATTCTACCTTCGGAAATATTGCTGCTCTACTAAATTTCCTAATTTCAACTTCAAGTAGTCTGGAGAGTAACAGCATTTCCGAGAGTAAAGAGAAATTTGACTGATACACGTTTGTATGGAAGAGAGTAGAATGATAAGCCTTTGACACAGTATGCCTGCAGTATGCATCCTGGTAGGCTTCCCAAACTCCATCTGAGCCTGTTACCTCAATTCCTTCATGAATCTGGTTTATCTTCTACCTTCCTAAGAAAGTGATGCAACACTTAAAGAAATGGTGATAGAATTGGTTTGAGGGGGAAAGTCATTTTTCTTTTCACTGAAGATCTAGTGAATCCTTTGAACACATTGATTTTTGTAAAAATAATAGTAATCTAGTCTCTTTTTTTTTCTAGAGTTGGTCTTTGACTCTCACAAATTAGGGTTTTATGTTTTAGAGAAGTGAAGAATTGAACACAGTTGAGGCACTGATATTAAAGCAGCGACCTTATCAACAGAATCACTAACTGTGGAGGGGGGTGGTATACAGGAAGAATGTAGCAGAGCTCCTGCTTTTATTTCAGCCTGTTTTTATCCTTTGATGTCCTTCTGCCTAGTTAGTTTTCTATCCCACATAAACATGTATAGACCAAAAATAAAACTGTAACTTTAAAAAATTATAATTAAATAGTAAAAAGCACTAGTTTTTTAGGTTTTTATTTTGTTTTGTTGTTTTTGAGACAGGGTTTCTGTGTAGCACTGGCTGTCCTGGAACTCAGTCTGTAGACCAGGCTAGCCTCGAGCTCAGATACACCTGCCTCTGGCTCCCCAATGCTGGGATTAAAGAGCACTAGTGCTTTGTTTTGTTTAAAAAAAAAAAAATTAAGAGACTTATAATTCCACAAGATAATCCTCATTTTCTTTTTTTAAAAGAATGAGTAATATGTGAAAACAATTGAAAATTCCAGCAATACAGAAAAACATAAAATGGAAAAGCACTCTACTTCCTGACCCATTCACTGGATATAGCTATTATTATTGATTTTATTAAACTCTTAATATCTTTTCTAGTCTTCTTTTAGCTCAAACACATAATCTGTTTCATCATCATACCAGAGACTCGTGGTGTTCTGTTACTTGGAAGAACCATGTATCATTTCTAAACTACATAAATAATGAATTTCCACCCAACTCTTCATTTTAAACAAGCTATGGTAATACGTAATACACACACACACACACACACACACACACACACAAAACACACAAACATTCACCTATACGTAATAGTAGGCTGTGTTGATGTGGGTAAAAGATCTAAATGGTTGCAGTCATTCATATTTTTCCTTTTAGCAATAATGTGAGTCTATTTTAAGTATTTTATTCCTCTAATTTTTTTGTTTAGTTCATAAAAATATTGTTAAAAATAAGTACTTACAGTTTTGTTTTGTCTTCTTTCTTCTTTCTAACTTACTGTAATATTAAAAGGTAAATGATCCAAGCTGTTTTGGAGTAGATTATTAAATCAAGACTAGTTCCTAAAGAAACATAACTGTTGAGCAAGATAAATAATCGGTTGTTTTCATATTTTAAGCATGCTTTGAGCTGGTAAAAAGGTTTTAGAAATAGAGAGTAATGAGGAAAAAAGGAACAGCGAGGTTTGACTTTGTCACAGAGGTATGAGGTGTAGGGGATCTTGAGTGATAGGCTTCCTCAGTTCTGTCTTCACCACCACCATGGAACTTTATCTTTTCAGTGCATAACCCGAGTTTACTGGGTGTGAAATGAGTGGGCACAATAGGTGTTGGTGCTACATTATGATTAAAATAAAGGAGCTCCATTTGAGAATGTGTAGCACTGTGAATATGTGTGTGTGTGTGTGTGTGTGTGTGTGTGTGTGTGTGTGTGTGTGTGTGTATTCTGTTATCTTGCATGTCTATAAAAATGCTCTCATTCTATATTGAAACCCCTATGTTGTGATAGTAAATACAACTTTATCTTGAAAGAATCATTTTTATCATTTGAATAAAAGTAGTGCTCATAGTAAGAACTTTTAAAATGCTTGTTTTCAACAGGTAATCTTTGATTTAATTGGATGCAATAAAGTTACAATAAACAGTTCTCACCCTTTCCTTCTAAAGTGGTAAAATTTTATTTGCGAAATAAAGAACTAAAATGTATAGACACTTAGCTTGTCCTGTCCTTCTCCAGCTTGTGAATACTATCATCAAGACCAGAAAGTCTGACAGTATTAAATCTCTTTGAACATTAAGAGAGTACCTTGTGCTTAACAATGCCACCAGTCCTTTAAACACAGGCCTCTTGAGGAATAGAAAGTATTCGGGGCCTTTTTAGAATTTCAAGCTGGAAACTGTTTGCGGATAATACTCATTAGTGTGATATTGTTATTTACTGCTGGTGAAAGGCCTCTTATAAACTGAAGTACACAGCTTCCATATTCAGTATCCTGTTATTGATAATAGCTAATGCTGTTAAACCTTTTCATGTCCAGTAGTAGTTATTTTTAGCCAAAAGATGTCGTCTCCCACCCCCCTTTTTAGGTGATGAGGTCTCACTGTATATTTCTGTCTGGTCTGGAACTCACTATGTAGACCAGACCAGCCTCGGACTCACTTAACTTTGCCTGCCTCTGCCTCCTGAGTACTAGGATTAAAGTTGTGCCAACATACTTGATTTCAGAAAGCTTTTTTCTTTTTTAATCAGAAGACTATAAAACATTGTAATGTTAAAAAAATAATTATGTTCAGGAGCTGTATCTCTTTGAGACCTAATCTGTAAGAAGTTGTGGTTGTTTATGCCATGTATATTTGTTTCAGACATTTACTTGAAAAGGAGTGTGATGAAGCTTTTCTGTAGTACTGATCAACTTGGCACCAAATTGTCCAAAGGTTAGGTTTATAGTTGGGATTAAGATTTTAAAATGTTGATTTGTTGGCTAATAGGTGTGGTGCCTACACCCATTTCACATAAGAACTGTGTAGTTCTGCCCTTTTTATGGTTATAATATTATTTCCATGGCCTCCTGCTCTCCAGCTTCTCATTAGAGAAACCAAACTAAACAATTAACTGTTTTGGCCTGCTGACTTTGAAATAATGATGGTGTGGTGTAAGAAATATATAATACTGTCTACACTGTTAGGGTTTGGTTTTTGTTGTTATTGTTAGAAAAACCGTGTTGAAAGGATGAACTTCTCTTACTAAAGTTTATTGGTAGAAATTGGACCTTTGAAAAAGCACCTCAAAAGAAGCCAGCACAACTGGAATCTAGAATACTAGATTTACAACGTAGGCAGGTTTCAAAATGGAACTTAAATACCGCACAGAGATCTGTCTTAGATTCCCTGGCTCTTGAAAACTGAACACTTTTCCCCATTTGTTTTATTGCCTTACCTCTCGGTCCTGTTGTGTTTAGCCGAAGAAATATTCTTAATAGCATGCTCTTTTGCCAGTGGCTTCTTCCTTCTCACAACATCCGTGGGTAGCTCTGGCTGAAGTGGCATTTTTTAAGTTCTCCCAAGTTACTGAATTTGTCTAGAAGGAATTTATGTTTGAAGACAGAGATAAAATAATTACGCTGTCAGATGGCAACATTAGTAAAGTAGTTGCTACCAATTTTATCTATATATTTTTCCATTTAAGGTTGGTAATGTGTGAGTGGTACAGTGATACCTGTAAGTTCTGCACTTGGGATGCTGAGGCAGGAGATCATGATCAAAGCCATGCTGGATTTTAGAAAGATCTTGTCCTTCTAGAGGGTGAGGTGGGGATATAGCTATTGGTAGAACACTTGCCTAGCGTGTGCGTGTGTGAAGCTCTGGGTTCAGTCCCTAATGTCGTGGTCAGGAGGGAGTATAATTGTTTCTACCTCCTGTTTCACCATTTGGTTTTGTTTTGAGCTTTAGAAACCACTGATAGCAAATTTTGTGTATGTATGGTTATTTCAATATAAGTAGGATAAAACCTATTACTGAAGATTTTAATATCTAAAACCATACCTCTTAACTCACCTATATTTTTAAGAACTGTGTTTGCTGTTAAAATCAGAATTAATTTCATATTACTATTTTTGCTTCTAAATCAAAGAGTGTTTTAGATTTTTTTTGGGGGGAGGTTAAGCATAATGGAAGGGAAAGATTATGTGAACAGTTTCGGTTTGTGTTAGACATTAAAGCTTACTGTAAGTTTTTGGTGTCATTAATCATTGAGTGATTCTTAGAATGTTTATAAAGGTACACTACACAAAAATGCTAATTTGTTTTCTTTTCCCCTCAGCCATCTGTTGAGTCTTCAAGTCCAGGTAAGTATTTTTATGTGTTTTTATAATCCTGTTTGACTACTTGTCCTGTTAGTTAAGATAAAGGCTAGAGGAGCTAGACTGTCATCTGACTTGCTTTTCTTCTGAATGCTTCTTTTTTCTGGGGAAAAAGAAATGGATGAAATGTTTGACTGCCCATGAAAGTACAGGTGAGGCAAGTTCATCCTCCTAACTGTCTGGGCTTTCTTTCCCTCTCCTCCTCTCTTTGCCCCTCCTCCTCTTCCCTGTCTTCCACTCTTCTCAGTTGCTTTACGCATTTCTTATAGTTTAAAATTGTTATTTAAACTGAAAGTGTATGAAATAATGCTTTTGAAAAGGAGTCAGTTAGCTTAAAGATATTCAACATTTTATTTGATAAATTATTAATGTGTTTACCATTGAAGGGCATAGTAAAATAAGTCAGCCATTCAGCAGGGGAGTTGCATTGGAAACATAAGGAATTTATTCATAGATTTGAGTAGTTGTATATACTTTTAACTGTTCATCTAGGATTTTTATATTCTTTCTTCAATATTGCTCACATTTATTTTTACTCTTTGGGAGTCCTTTGAGGTGTGTTTTGTTTGAAAATAACTCACACATTGAATATTTAGCAAAGTTTAGAATCATGTTGCTGAATTTTGCATATTGAAGATATCTACATTGTATTGTAATTTTATTTTGGATTTTTTTTCATTCATTTTGGGGGGTGGTTGCCCCCCACCCCCAAACAGGGTTTCTCTGTGCAGCCCTGGCTGTATTGGAACTTGCTCTGTAGATCAGGCTGGCCTTGAACTTAGAGTTCCACTTGCCTCTGCCTCCTGAGTGCTGGGATTAAATCCGAGTCCACCACTGCCCAGCTTGCATTGCAATTTTTAGAAAGCTTTGTGTGCGTGTGTGTGTGTGTGTGTGTGTGCTTAACATGAACAGTCTTTTAATAGTCCAGGATGCTTTTCATGGACATAAATTGTTGTGTTCTGGAGGTTGGAGTGTACTATTAAATAACTTGAGTGGTGACTTTACACTTGCTTTTGTCTTTATTTCAGCTAAAAGTAGTTTGTCTTCTTTTTTTCTGTATGCTCAAGAGGAAAGTATATTGGTTTTTTGTAACTTTTTTTTTTAACTTTGTGATTTATAAATGAGTTCAGGATGGTAGGAGTTAGAAGTAAACATGAGATCAGAAAAGTGTATATACCCCACTATATAGGTTGTGGGATATAGAAATATTTCCAGTATTTTTTTTCTTTCAAAACTTCAGAAATAAGTTTTGCTGAAAAAAGAAAATGGATTCCCTGTGTTTATTCGTGTAGGGTTGCAGATTCCTTAAGCTTTAGCGTTTCTTTAATAAGTACATAAATATTAGGACATTTGGCAGAAGGAGCATTTATTGCTAGCACAATTATAGAGAGTTACAAAAGTTGATAGAATTAAGGATAGAGGCCTCTGTCACGTAAACATATTGTTTAATGGTCATAGATGCTCTTCATAGCGTCTGTGCTTGGGAGTCAGTGCCAGCGGTCATAGTCAGCATCACGTGCAAGCACAGTATAAAACGTAATACATGAGAGTTACAGGGGAGGGTTTGTTTTTTTAAGAGAATAAATAGGTATACATGATACATTGTAACCTAAAGTTATCTTAGTGCCTTTAAAAGGGTGATCCAAAAGTGGATGACAAAGCAGTGATTATCTTAACTCCCTAGCAAAATACTTAACTTGTACAAAGCAAAAGATGTCCTCATTATTGAGGTTCCCTTCCAGGAAACTTTCGTAATAATGGGTCTAAGCATATGGCAGACAATAATAGGATGGTTAGTTGCTACTTGCAAATAAGGTAGTAAGAACTCATATAAAACAAACACCAGTTTAAAGCAAGAAAACAGTTGAAATTGCAAGTTTATATGTGATATGCATGTGGGAAAGGAGTTGGAATTAGAAGAGCAGCTCATTTACACTTTGGCATTTAATGTAGTGGGGGAGTGAGGTGACAGGTCTTCAAGTAGAACTGTCTGCAAATGATGACAAAAGATAAGAGATTTCAGGTAAGTAGTATGACGTTCATGACTTGGTGCTGTGTTCTAGAGAGTTTGGAAGCAAGTGGGTAAGAGTATAACAATGAGTAGTTAAAATTTAGCATAATTATTTTTGGCAATATCTATACTCAATAAGAACTATGTGAAGCTTAATAATGTCCAGAGGGGTGGTGATGTAATTTTTGTGTGTGTGTGGGTGTTTTGCTTGTATGTATTTATATGTACTGTGCACATGCCTGGAGCTCATGGAGTTCAGAAAAAGAATCCCCTAGAACTTGCGTTAAGGATGTGAGCTACCAGGTGGGTGTTAGAAACTGAACCCAGATCCTCTGCAAAAGTCACAAGTACTGCTAACTGCTGAGTCCTCTCTCTCCAGCTCCAGCACTAGAGCCTTTTTAAAAGAGTCTGTCTACAAGAGTGAATAAAAGAGTAGCACAGTCTGTGAGACTGCTTCACTGTTGACTGCTAAGTGTCTCAGAAGAAAAGCTTCAGGAAACTGAAAGGATGATAAAAACCAGAACTCCAAGTTAATGGTTCTTATTTGTGCTCTCATGAGAACCCTCCTGCCCAGTAGTTCAACTACTGCTATAATACCAATAAAATTAAGACAGTCTGTTGTGAGGAATTAAGACAGGATGCTTTTCTATTTTTTATATAAATCATTCTGAACCTTGCATAATGATTAATAACTCATTTTCATTAAATTCTAGTATATAATAATTGGATTTGGCATTTATACTTATTTTGTATTTAATATTTTTCAAATACTCTCAAAAAGAATTGTGTCTTTCAGGAGTTTTGCCACCTGTTGGCAATTACAGGTCACATATGTTAGTAAACTTAGGCTCTCCTTAAGTGTTCTTTGAGACAAGACATGTAGAGGACTTACAGGAAGTTTGGAGCACTTGAGTTGAAGTTACCGCTGGGACTCCGTTCCATCTTTGCTGTATTTTGAAGTGCTATATATGTTCTTAAGCCTTGTATCTTTCTCCTCCCTCCCCCTTTTAAATGGGGTGATAATACCTACTTCATACCACTGCTTGAGGATTGAGATAATGTTTGTCAAATGATTGAGCTTATTATTTGGCACATAGTTAAAGGGGGAGGACTCTTCTGAATATTGTAGGAGTTGACTAAAGAACTCTTAGCCATTGGTATACCCTGGTTTCTTCGTTTTACCGATTCTCTTATATAGAGTGAAATAAGGGGATTGGCATGGCTGTTAATGCAACTCTTAATAATTTGAACTGATAAAAAGATCTTTTTTTTTCCCTAGGTCAAATGACATACTTGTCTATAAGTAAGCAGTGCTTTTGCAAACTGAAGTCTTAGTTTGGCAGTAATAAAAATGTGGGAAATGTCTACAGAACACCCACATTCCTAGCTTTTGCAGTCTATTTAAATCTAGTAACATTCACCCCAAACCAGGCTAAATATTGATTAGGATATATCAGTTAATTTGAGTTACTTATATTGCCTTTAATAAAAATTTTATATATGCTTTTAATACATTTTACTTCTATTACCCCTGAGTTATTTCAAATGAACTGCATAAGTTCAAGATAATTACTCAAATATTAGAATATGTTTTCAAGGTAGTCTGATAGTATATTTTCACTAGATGGGCAAGTGTTGCTTAACAGCAAGCACACATTCTGATAAACTCGGGTGGTTGAGCAATTATCATCGAGCATTCCTCTACACGCCTACCGCATACCTGTACTATATGATGTAGCCACTGTCATATGCGCAGCCTGACATCGACCTAGAAAATCACCCTACAGTATGTGACTGTTCAGATTTTCAAGGACCAAAGAGATTTTCAAACCTTAAACAGGTGGTTTAAAATGGTTTTGTTTTCCCCCTCCACAAAAAAAGTCGATTCTTACTTGATGGAGCTCTTTTTTCTTTATAACTTAGTTTCCTGTTTAGAAGATTACAGCAAAAATTTTAAGTTAAAAATATTCTACCCCAATTTCACAGTGTAACATATAGGAATAGCATGGCAAACAGTAGTTCCTAGTAAGAGCTTTTTGGGAGTGGGGATGAGTAAAGGTAGTTTTTTAAAGCAAAAACATTTACTGTGTCTATCTTTTTCCTGGTCCTTTTTTACTTACATCCAGCCTCAAATAAACAATGCATATATACTAAAATAACATTGGTAAGATGCACTTAATTTGGTTTACCGTACATCTGGAAATGTTCTTTATAGGAGGCTCAGCAACATCAGAGGACCATGAGTTTGATCCATCAGCTGACATGCTGGTTCATGATTTTGATGATGAGCGAACATTAGAAGAAGAAGAAATGATGGAAGGAGAGACAAACTTCAGTTCTGAAATAGAGGATCTTGCAAGGGTAAATGACCTATACTAGCAGTGATATGGTGCGGCATGTGGAGCGGGGCCACTGGAGACTTTGGTGCTCTGTTTATGCTGGAAATTTTAAATACCCAACCGTCGGTGGGGTAGTTAACATTTGAAATTGGGGCTGAAAAAAATTATTGTGTAAAATTCAGTAGTAATTTTTGGTGAAACATCATAGATCTGTCAGAAATGGGCCATGAAAGGATCCTAAATTTTCTCTTGTGGCCTCCTCCCACCAGTTACTGCATCTTTTATTTACTCTCTTCAAAGCCTAAATGTCTTAAACGTCATCAGTTTCCTCTCTTTGATTAAAGTTCCAGATTGTGTCTCCCTCTTGCTATCAGTGTTATCTTTGACCTTTCTACATCCATTGTTCTTCTCGTTCTTAGAGCTTTTCTCATTGGTATTCAGCACAGCTGACCATTCTGTCTCTACTCTGCTTTTCCCTGTACTCCATTTTCTCTTCAGTGTCCTCTGCACATTCCTCTTTACCTAAAGTTTAAGTGTTTGTACTTCTTGGTTATTGGTGCCAGACCTATTCTTCTGTTCTTGTCTCTCTTAGGTAAATGCTCAGAACATACTATAAAGGTCAGCTGCATCAGAATGTGCTATAGACTTAATAAATACAGCAGATCTTCCAAGGTGGGCTCCCAGTCTACATCTTCATTAAGCAAGTTTGAGCCACCTGCATACCAAATCTGAAAACTACCAGCCTGTGTGATCTAATCTATTTCATGGTCTCTGCTCAGTTCTTCTTGGTTTGTATTTCTGGCTTAACTCTTCCATCTCATTCTCCAACTTGACTTTTTCCTTAAACATTTCAGCAGCTATCTCTAAAATTGTGAACACTTAAAACAATACTTACTGTTCCCTCCTTACCTGTTCCTTCTCTGTCTATAAAAAATGTCACCTTAAAAACTACTTACATTTATTTACATTGTTGGCTAAGTCTGAAACCAGCGAAAATGTTTCTTTTGTTGCCAACATTGCATTTCTAAATAAACCTGTTATTGCTCCCCACTGAAATACCTCTAACCAGTTCTTGTTCCATATCTACCTCAGGAGGTATTTTTTCTATCCTAGACTACTATGACTGCTTCCTAATTAGTTTCCCCATTTCATGTTTTACTATATTTCTTCTAATATATTTTCCATGCAGCATCTATAGTGACCTTTTTAAGTACAAAACCTTTTATTTCAACCTCGTATAACTCCTAAAGAAAATCTAGATTCCTTAATCTTGCTGCAAGGCCAACTGCTTGATAGGACCTTTTCCATTTACTATTTAAAAAAAGCTGTTATACTGTACCTTACTAACTGCTTTTGGTCTTGGATTAGGTAGTTTGTTCCTGCTTTGAGGTGTATTTGGCAATCTTTGATTTGTTGTTGCCTTCTGGATTTGGTGTTACCATTCATATATGCTAATTAGTTTAAAAAAATAACAAAAATGCTGTATCCTATTCAGTATGGTATAGTTTTGTTTCCCTACCTCAGTTCATACATATTTGTATGTATGTGTAGGTAATAATACCTATAGCCTTCTTTAATTTCATAAAGGGATCTGGTATTTTCTAATATAACTTATATGTATGATGTAATTTGTTCCATGATAAAAGAAATGTAAAACAGACACCGTGCTGGTGTTTATAGATAGAGAAGATGGATGTTATTATTCTTTTATAGTAATTATCTGTGTTTTAGAATTTAGTTGGGGATTTGAAAGGAGTCCTGATAGTATTTAGTTAAATCTTGCCCGGGTCTTGTTTGGGATCGTTTAGTTACTAAAATAGCATTATTCACCATGCCTAAGCAAATTTTTTTTAACTTTGACCAGAGAACTGAATTTATTTTGATGGCAATATTGTATTTTGGTTTTCACAGAGCCTTTCAAAAATTATGGTGTACTTGGGGTCAGAAACAGTCTTTTAAAAGTAAGAAGCTAGTCAGTCATTGCTTATTCTTTTCTTTAGGAAATGATAATTGAAATTTATAGAGGTTAGAGAAAGGAAGTAATCCTATATGTTTTCATTTCTTTTTTGTTTTTGTTTTTGTTTTTTTGTTTTGTTTTTCAAGACAGGGTTTCCCTGTGTAGCTTTGTGCCTTTCCTGGAACTCACTCTGTAGCCCAGGCTGTCCTCGAACTCACAGAGATCCGCCTGCCTCTGCCTCCCGAGTGCTGGGATTAAAGGCTTGCGCCACCACTACCCTGCGTATGTTTTCATCTCAAGCAGTCTTACACCTTCCCAGAATCTCCTCTGACTTTCCACATAGAGCAAAGTCTTACGTTTAAGTATCTCCATATCTAGAACTTTTGTAACCTGAAACTAAATGGTGTGATTAGATTTCCTGTAGTTACAAGCTTCATAAATATGGACCAAACCAATTTTTCTTTAAGAAATAAACCAATTTGTCTTATTGATTACTCATCTGCTTTTACAGGAGCAAGACAGTGGTGAAGTTCAGGGGGTGGTGCTTTTCATTTGGAGCTTTCATTGTATGAAATCTGTCTTGTTTGTTTTTTATGTAATTGTGGACAAACTGGACAGTTCTTTCATAAACTAACAGTAAATATAACAAATGCATTTCACTCTCACCTCTGTTTTTTTTGTTTGTTTGTTTTTTTTGTTTTTTTTTTTTTTTTGCATTGGTGTGGGGATGTCAGATCCCCTGGACTGGATTTATAGCTGTGAGCTGCCATGTGGGGACTAGGAATTGAACCTTGAACCTGGGTCCTCTGGAAGAACAGTCAGTGCTCTTAACCACTGAGCCATATCTCAGCCCCCATATAAGTCTTACATTTAGATAATTTAATACAATTAGATGAATTGATTAGAACTTGCTGTGGTACTAATAGGAATGTTAAAATTATGCACACAATTCATGAAGTTTTGTGTTTGCTCTGAATTATCAGTACCGAAATTTAACCCTTTTCCAATGCTTATTAAAAATCAAGAGACCAAGCATGGGCACAATTATAACACTACATTCAGAAGAAAGATAAGTGTCAACCACATCTGTATATTTAAATGCATTGTAGAAGAAAAGGACTTTTATTAACAACATCTATTCTTAATACACACTTTAAAGCACTGGACACATTCCCAGTAAAGCACCAAAGCCTAGGGCCAGAGATTGAGGCAGCTCATGAGAATGCCCACACTAACCTCTTAAGCACATACTTTTACCTTGTCATAAAACTGTCTCCCAATTTCTTATTTTTGTCACTTCTCTGGATGCTCTCTATAGAAAAAAAAAATGAGAGTTTGAGATTTTCTTGCAGTGTATATGAATAAAAATGAGAACATGACCACTCCTAGGTATGGTTAAGAAGGTTTTTACTGTAGATATGAGAGAGAGAACAGCCAGAAGAGTCCAGACTGAAAGGAACATGGCCAGCAGAATAGACCTGTCCATGAGAGGAGAGAATGAAGAGAGAAGGGCAAGAGGGGACCAGGATCCAAGAGAAGAGGACCAAGAGAGTGCTTGGCTGAAATGGCTGGGTTATCTGGGGATGGAAGCTGGGGGAAAGGAAAGTGAAGCTCAGGGGCTTGAAGAGGTTTAAGGTAGGGTAGGGGGTGAGAAGTGCTGAGAGGAGCGAGGACTCTGTGCCAGGTACTTGTGATGCTGAGAGAACCTGAGGCCAGCATGTACTGTGTATCTAATAGGCACCACAGTTAGCCATTTGTCCTGAGTCTTTACGGCCTGACAGTATGCATAGGCTGAATTATAAATACAAAAGAAACCCTGACATGAAAATTGTAAAAGAAGTTTATTGACCAGCCCTAAGTGATTGGTTACCTTCAGAACTGTCTTAGTCTAATCTAGATGTGATCCCTTAGGACTTATCTCCTCTTCATAAGCCTGTATTGCTAAGTCCATTTTGGTACAGTAGATATCTGAAGAATAATGTACCTGTCCACCAAATGGCCCTGCTGTGAAAGTTTGCATCTGTGACACATTCATGAGAGAAGACTTACTTCTTCTGCAACCAGAAAGTTGATGCTACTCTGATCTTATAGTACTATTGTGTGTCAGTATTTGATGGCTTTATCTTCCTGTCTTGACTTCATGTGTGTGCCTGGTGTCTTTAGAGGGAGGCCAGAAAAGAGTGTCAGATCCTGTGGAAGTGCAGTTAGAGACAGTTAGGAGCCTCTATGTGGGTGTTGGGAACCAAATCCTGGTCCTCTCCAAGAACAAGTATTCGTAATCGCTGAGCCATCTCTGCAGCTCGTGGTGTTTGTCTTTTAAATAGCCCATTCTTTTCAACTTCAGCCAGGGTCCAGTTAGCTTACACAGATATGACTGCCCCACTTTTTTTAGTGTTTAGACAACTTACTTCCTAAAGCACATTATAATGTACATCTGTTTTTGTTCACCTTGTGTCTGTCATTATCCCTCATAGTCTTATCTACTCAGCCCTTATGTCATATTGCATCAAGATGGTATTTAACTTGAGTTCAGATTTCAAGGAAGAAAGTATATGTGCATATGTAATTAAGTAAGCGACCCAGTGAGTTAGATAACCTGGGTTCTTAATTTAACTTCGCTATTCCATAAGCATATAACTTGATTATCATTGTTAAACTTCCGTCCTTACAAAGATGGTATAGAGCTCCTGGCACAGTGTCTGGCACGTAATAAAACTACTAAATAAATCTTCATTGTGTCGTTCCTGTGGTTCTCAGAGAAAGTTGGTTCACAGCTGTGAGCATGTGCTATATGCCCCACAGCTTGTGCTCTCTGTCCTTTTTTATATCCTTCCTCCTAGACGGAGGATAAAACATACCTGCTTCATTATGATGTTTCAGTGCAAGTTGAATGAAATTCCTTAGTGCCTGGTAGAAAGAACATAGACTTTGATAATGAAACTAGTAAGATGTTCTCTAGACTAGGTGACTGGTAGACCCTCATTCACTTATGTTCTACTGGCCAAGTTTTAATCATCCTTTAGTCTTTTTCTCTAAGGGAAATATAGGATATTCACTTTGCAAGT